GGTCTTGCTGTAGCCGTCCACACAACAAAGTCTCTGAGGAGGCCTCTGCCTCGTCATCCATGTGGAACTACTAAGACGACTTAACAAACATGGTGGACAACGGAAAAATGTAGGGGTGACAACCGTGAAGTTCAGCCAGCCGCCGAAAACATCCAGACAATTCGCGGAAGGCGTCTGCACGACGCGGTCGGAAGCGCTGGCGAGGAAATGGGGGAACGAGAATGAAGAGAGGGAGAATATGGCGGGGGAGTGGCACAATGAGGAGAGGCAGGAACATGAGTGAGAGAAGGGAGGGGACGGAGTGGGAGAGGGAAGAGGAGGACGATGATGATGATGCTGATGCTGATTATAAAGATGATGAAGCTGATGATGATGATGCTGATGATGATGATGATGATGATGATGCTGGTGCTGCTGATGATGATGATGCTAATGATGTTGATGACGTTGTGGATGATGATGCTGACGATGATGATGACGATGATGATGACGATGATGATGATGATGATGATGATGATGATGATGATGATGATGATTATGATGAACACGAGGGACGGAGGATGAAGAAGATGATGTGGACATTGGAGGATGATGGGGGCGGACTGTGGAGGCGGTCGAGTGGGGCAGAGGGATGAGGGGAAAGGAGGAGACTGCGGGGCGGGGACGACACGTACGGGGGGGGAAGAGGCGGCGGGAAAGAAGGAAGGAGGAGGGAGAAGGATGACAGAGGATGGGCGAGAAGGAGGGAGGAGGGAGGAGGAGGGACTGGACCAGCGGAGGAATCGCGCTGTGGAGCGAGCTGTGGAGGATAGGGGAGGCGGCTCGGGAGGATACAGTCGGGGCGTCGACCTAAGGAACTATAAACAAGGAACGAGCCCCCCTTTTTCCAGAAAGTAAACTCCGATGTTCCATGGAAAACCTCAGGAAAACCCAAGGAGCACCGTAAACCAACTACTGTAAGGAACACAGAGCCCCTCCCAAACGAAAAAGGTTCCTCCTTCATCGGCCCGACTGTAGGTGAGGGGTGAGAACAATTGGACGGGGAGCAGGCAGGAGGAGGGGAGCCGACCTGGGACGATGGCGGCGGGGAAAGGGGGGCTGGGGGAACACGCAGTCCGACAGCTTGGCCGAGCTCTGGCCGCAACGTTGGGCCGCATGGGCTCTTCCAAAAGGCGGGGGGGCGGCGGTGATTCGCTGCAGGCGTCTTTGATCTGCCGCTCTCTGTCGGCTTGTCACAGGGGTGCAAGCCGTGCCAAACTTGAGGTATGTGTTGGTCCTTCTTGAAGGTTTCCAAAGGCCTTCGACTGAGCCCACTGGCCACCCGAAGGCCAGAAAATCCCCAAACAACGCTCCCGAGGGCGGTCAAGATGGCCCAAGATGGCCTCCAAGACGGTCTCAAGATGCCTCCATCACGCCCAGGGCAACACCAGGAGAGCATAATATGCCTCTAAGACGGCCCAATATGCCCCCGAGACGGTCCAAGATGCCCTCGAAGAGGCCACCGAAATGCCACAACGCCCACAAAACTGCCGACGAGGCCCACAAGACGCGCCAAAATGCCCCCCAGACGGCTCCATTGACCTGCAAGACGGCCCAAACGCGCCCAAAGCGGCTGCCCAGAGAGGGCCCCAAGGCAGCCTCCGAAGGCCAAGAGGCCCCTCAGAGCCCCCATATGCAACGAAAAAGACCCCAAGAGGCCCCAGGAGGCCTCACAGAGGCCCCAGGAGGCCCCGAAGAGGGCCCAGGAGGCCCCCAAGAGGCCCAGAAGAGGCCCCCAAGAGGCCCCCATGAGGCTCCCAGGAAGCCCCCAGGCGTTCCCAAGAGGGCCTCAAAAGGCCTTCTCTTCTTACTCCTCATTGTTCCTCGTCTCCGCCTCCTCCTCCTCTTTCCCTCCTCCTCCTCCTCCACTTCCTCTTCCTCCTCCTCGTCCTCTTCTTCTCCTCCCTCTCCTCCTCCTTGCCCTTGCTCTCCCAAGTGTTTCCCAATTGGTTTCCACAACGGCTGGGGGGCACATAGTAGTCCAACAGCTTGGCTAGACTTCGGCCCAACGTTTGGCCGCATGTGCATTTCCAAAAGGCAGGGGGCGACGGTGATTCGCCGTATGCGTATTCGATCCGGAAGCCAAAGGGCCCCGCATAGCCCCCCCATGGCACCCAAGAAGCCCACAGAAGGCCCCAGAAGTCCCTAAAGAGGCCCCTTCAGATGCCCCGAAGAGGCGCCCAGGAAGCCCCCGGGAGGCCCGACCAGGGCCTCAAGAGGCATCCTCATCCTCCTCCTCCTCCCCCTTCTTCTCCTCCTCCCTTTTCTTCTCCTCCTTCTTCTCCTCCTTCCTCTTCCTCGCCCAGGCGTTCCCCCACGCGGCGTCACAGAGGCTCCAGGAACACATGGTACGATGGCTAGGCCAGACGTTGGCCCAGCATTTGGCCGTATGGGCGTTTCCAAAAGGCAGGGGAGCGGCGATGGTTCGCAGCAATCGTCTTCGATACTATTGCTCCGCGTCTGTTCCACTGTGTCCTCCCTCCTCCCCTTCCGTTAAGATTCACTTCCTTCTTTCTCCGTTCCCCCCTCACACTTGTCATTCCTCATTCCCCTCCTCACATTTCCCCTCTCCGCCCGAATCTCTTGAGGCTAGAAAAAGGGCGCCAAACGCCCCAGAACATAGAACCCTGGATGTTCCCCTATTCCTTGTTGTCCTCCTCCTCCTCCTCCTCATCCTCCGCCTCCGACTCCGCATGCTCCCCCTCCTTCTCCTCCTCCTCCTCCTCCGCCTCCTCCTCCTCCTCGTCGCTCCTCCCCAATCCTCCTCACCCATCCTCGCTCGTCTCCTCGCTCGTCCCCCTCACGGGCGCCTTTGCCACCCCAGCCGCCGCCAACGCCCCAGGCGCCTGGGCGGAACGCGCCGTCCACTAGCAGATAAGGGCGAGTTGTGAGTTGATGGTTGTTGCGTGTTGTTTTTCCAGCTGGGCATGAACGAAAGCATTCATCGCAACTGTGGCGACGGAAATGGCAGGAAGAAACGTAGCTGCATGCACGGCGACAATGAACGCGGTGACGTGTATGACGCTGGCGACCGATGATGTTGACGATGGTGATGGTGATGGTGATGGTGATGGTGATGGTGATGATGATGATGATGATGATGATGATGATGATGATGATGGTGGTGATGATGATGATGATGATGATGATGATGATGATGACGATGATGATGACCATGAACCGACAAGAAACGATCCGTGAGCTCAAACCAACACTTCGCGCCGAGCACGCCGCGCGGCGCAGATCATGTTGTGCCGTACCGCGGGAAACGGCCCGCATCCTGTGGTGGTCCTTCAAAACGTGGTACCGGCTTTGGCCAGAGGGGAGCGGGGCAAACCGAGCGGCGAGCAGGGCCCACATAGAAACGGGGCCTCGACGGAACTCCACCCAGCCAGCCAATAGTGATGGCGATGATGATGACGCTGGCGGTAGGCAGCAGTGATATGTTGAACATGCTGGCCACGGAGTGATGATGCGTGCGATACCGCGTGAGAATTCTAAGACGTGGGCGGGGACTCTTCGTCTTTATTGGGGTAAGGCAACCCATGGTCCCCGGGTGCGGCCACAAACGCAATTGTCCCTGAGGATTTCATGAGAAACGAGTGGCTTCGGAACGGTTTCTGGCGTTCCCCCGAGGTGACCAAAGGTTTTTCTTCATTCCCCTTTCGATTCTTCATGGGCCAAGTACACAACGTGAGACGTGTTCGCCAAATTGGGACGCGTTCGCCAAATTGGACGTCTGTCCAGGACTGCTTCGAGCCATATGGCAACGGCTGCCAACGCTCCGGCGCGATCGATTTGCCAGCGGGGGGCCAACGGACGTGAGGCGCACACGCCGCGCCTTTCCTTGCATGAAGGGCGCCGAAGGGCCACAGGTGGATTCGAAAGGCTCGTTCGGGGCAGCTTCAGCCACTGGGCGAAATCCCCTTGCACTTCGGATGGCTTCCTGGGCCCAGCGTCGTCCATGAAGGCGGCCAAGCCCCCTTGGGCCCCCGCGGGGATTCCGATGCGGCATCCGACTGCGGCGACGTCACGGCCCCACGGGAGACCCCGTGAGCAGTGGCAGCGGCAGCGGGAGGAGAGAGACAGAGAGAGGGATAAAGAGAGAAAGAGAGAGAGAGAGAGAACAAAAAAAAGAGAAAGAGAGAGAGAGAGGACAAACCAAAAAACAAGAGAGAGAGAGAGAGAAATAACAACAAAGAGATAAACAAAAACAAAAGAGGGAAAGAGAGAGAGAGAGAAAAGAGAGAGAAGAGAGAGAGAGAGAGAACAAAAAACATGAAAAAAACAATAGAAAAAGAGAGAAAGAGAGAGAGAGAGAGAGAGCGAGAGCGCGCGCGCGGCCCTGCCCCTCCCTATCCAGCCCGCGCCGCTGAGCGCGGATGCTGCGGCGACGACAAGCAGCATCAGAAGCAGGAACTGAGCAGGCAAGGGGCGGCACGGGGAAGGCCGAGCGGGCGAGGGGCGGAACGGGGAAGGCCGAACAGGCGAGGGGCGGAACGGGGAAGGCCGAGACGGACCGGCGACAGCCCCAAACCCAGACGGGGCTGCCGCCCAAATGACAAGCGCGCCGGACGCGAAAGGCAAGTCGCCCGCCCCCCCACCCCTGCCCGCCTGAGAGCCCCCGGTGGGGGGGCCCTCAGGTTCAGTTCGCCCCGGGGCCCCACACAGAGAAAAATGGGGAAACCCCCAGGGCTAAACGTCCAAAGATTGCGCAACTTCTGCGGGAGGAGGTGGGGGCAAACGGAGGGCGCCTCGCCCGGAGACGGGGCGACCGCGCCCGAAAGGGCCCCCAGAAGCTCACCTTCACGAGCGCGCTGGTGCTCAGAGTGATGCAGTTCTCCAAGGAGTGGAGATTGTGCTTCGGCGAATGCCGACCAGCGCGCCGACGCTGCGCTTCAAGGCGCTCGCGCTGTAGATGGACAGGACATCGTGAAACGTTGACCCTAGGCCAAGAGCAAGGATGCACAACATCATCTTTCATGGCAGGCCCAGACGTAAAGAGGAGAGCGACGAGAGACGCGAAGGGACGAGGCGACGGAGGGGGCCAATGGGAAACACGCGACACAAAGATAACCAGTCTAAAACCAAAGTCAAGGAGCTCGAGGTAAACGGCCCCGACCTCTCGGCAGCAGGTTGCCTCGCCGCCGGATTGGTCTCTCGGAGGGCCTCTGGCGAACGAGGCCTGCCTCCAACTGTTGGCTGTCCGGGGCCGGGAGCGGTTTCGCGTTAGGAACGGGCGCACGGGTGGCCATTCTGCGGTCTGCTGCGATCTCGACCTACAGTCGGGAAGCAATGCGAGCTGCGCGCCAGCCGAGCCAGGGGCGCTGGAAACGCACTCTCACGGGACTGCAACCAGCAAGGCACAACGCAAGGCCTTTGATTCGATGTGCTCCTGCGACGTGGCGCGCACGCCCGCATCCAGCAGCGCCTTCGGCCTAGGCGCCCCACCAACAAAAAAACAATTTAGCAGAGAAAAGAAGACCGCTGGGCGCCACTACGGGCGCATCGCGGCGCGGACGTCGCGGCGCGCCGAAGCAGTGGCGAACCGAAGCGAAAGATTGCCCTCCCGCGTCGGAGAAAAAAAAAGCACGGCGAGCGCTCAGCGGCAAGTTGCCCTGCCGCGTGGGGAAGCGACCTTGCCGGGTGCCCAGCGACGCGTTGCCGTGCCGCGTTCGGCAGCGACATCGTGGGGTGCTCCGCGGCAGCTTGTCCTGCCGCGTAGGAGGGCAAACCCGCGGGGCGCTTCGCGGCGGATTGCCCTGCCGCGTGGGGAAGCGACCCCGCGGTTCGTTTGGTGGCGGGTGCACTGCCGCGCCGGGCGCCAACGCGCGCCTCCCGATAGCGGCGGGGAACTCCTGGGACCTCGGAGGCAGCAGCACAGACCACCGAAACTCACCTCCGCGCGGGCCTGCCCGAACGTCCCCCGGGTCCAGGTCGCCAGAGGTCGGCCGCTGGCGGCCGCGAGCCAGCTCCGGCGGCGGCGTCCCTCCCCTGAGTCAGGTTGGGGCCTGCCCCTATTATCCTCCTCCTCCTCCTCCTCCTCTTCTTCCTCCTTCTTCTTCTTCTTCTGCTTCTTCTTCTGCTTCTTCTTCTGCTTCTTATTCGTCTTCTTCCTCTTCTTCTTCCTCTTATTATTCCTCTTATTCTTCCTCTTATTATTCCTCTTCTTCTTCCTCTTCTTATTCCTCTTCTTCTTCATCTTCTTCTTCCTCTTCTTATTCCTCGTATTCTTCCTCTTCTTCTTCCTCTTCTTCTTCCTCTTCTTCTTCCTCTTCTTCTTCCTCTTCTTATTCCTCTTCTTCTTCCTCTTCTTCTTCCTCTTCTTCTTCCTTTTCTTCTTCCTCTTATTATTCATATTATTCCTCTTCTTCTTCCTATTATTCTTCCTCTTCTTCTTCCTCTTCTTCTTCCTCTTCTTCTTCCTCTTCTTCTTCCTCTTATTATTCCTCTTCTTCTTCCTCTTCTTATTCCTCTTCTTCTTCCTATTATTATTCCTCTTATTCTTCCTCTTCTTCTTCCTCTTCTTCTTCCTCTTCTTCTTCCTCGTATTCTTCCTCTTCGTCTTCCTCTTCTTCTTCCTCGTCTTCTTCCTCTTCTTATTCCTCTTCTTATTCCTCTTCTTATTCCTCTTCTTCTTCCTCTTCTTATTCCTCTTCTTCTTCCTCTTATTATTCCTCTTCTTCTTCCACTTCTTCTTCCTCTTATTATTCCTCTTCTTCTTCTTCCTCCTCCCCCTCCCCCTCCCCCTCCCCCTCCCCTCCCCTCCCCCTCCCCCTCCCCCTCCCCCTCCCCCTCCCCTCCTCCCCCTCCCCCTCCTCCTCCCTCCTCCTCCTCCTCCTCCTCCTCCTCCTCCTCCTCCTCCTCCTCCTCCTCCTCCCCCTCCCCCTCCCCCTCCCCCTCCTCCCCCTCCCCCCCCCCCCCTCCCCCTCCCCCTCCTCCCCCTCCCCCCCTCCCCCTCCTCCTCCTCCTCCTCCTCCTCCTCCTCCCTCCTCCTCCTCCTCCTCCTCCTCCTCCTCCTCCGCAGAACTACCTCCCCAAGGGCCCCGTCTCGGGCCTGCAGGGGTGCTCCTCCGCCCCCGTGGGTGGGCCCCGATTCGGACGGTTCGGCGCTTCGCCACGAGGGCCCGTCCGATCTGCTGGAGGGCGGACGACCGTCGGGCCTGTCCTCTACAGGGGAAATATTCAAAAATACTCGAAAAATAGTCAGGGGATTTTTTGGGGGGCATTTTTGTGTCATTTGTCTGGCTATTCTTTATTTTTCGTCGGAAATCCCCCTGTATTAGGGGGGGCACGCCCGACTTAAGCGAAGCGCTGGCACGCGCGCGGAAGGCGCGTGCTCGAGGGCGCCCTTGACAAGGAGCGTCTGCGGAGTTGTTGTCCGCCTTTTCCTGCGCACGCGCGCGACACTGCAAGTCCCCCCTCTTGCGATTTCTCTTCCCGCGGTGCGAGCGCATTGGCATGCGCTTTTCTCTGTGCCGCAGTTGGGGGCATTTACCTTCCGCGGCGCGTGTTCCGCTGAACTTGCGAGCGCCCGATACGTCGACGGGCCCTGGCGCCATTCTCTCCCAGTGGCCTGGGCGCAGCCGCGGGCAATCGTCTTAAATGCGCGAGCCGCTCTGTATCCAGTCGCCGCAGATACCTTTTCAGGCGGACATGGCTAAGCAGACCCCTTGGCCCGCAGCCATTTCCCTGCGCGCCTTTCGTGGGCGCTGCCTCTCCAGGAATTCTGCGCGCCCGTCGCAGGGCCACTCGCAGGTCTTGCTTGGGTCGTTCCTGTCCATTCTGTCGCGCGCCCCGATATCAGATTCGAGGTCGCGGCGCTTCTGGGTCTGCGCCCTAAGGGCTCAAGGATGGACGACTCGGGAATGGCTTTCATCCGCATGGGCGCGTAGTCCCAGTTCTCAACGAACATGCGGATATTATTGCGTTTAAGTTTCACAGCATTGAGGCTGGCGAAATCAAAGATGCAACCTCCTGCTTCCATCAACCTGCACAAGTCTAACACCATGAGAAGAATCGATCGCCATTTAACCACATGGCCCACGGTTTTGGCCTTCTCCTTCCGCGTAATGACTCGGGCAGTCGTTAGCCAAGATTGTACTGCGGGCAGTGGCGATCGTCACCTCGAGTGTCTCGAGCTCGCCGCTGTCCACGATGGGCTCGCAGGCCGCAGCAGTCTCGCCGCTGGGCCCGCGCGCCTCGTGACTGGTGGCGCTACCGAGCAGACATCGCAAAAAACTGGCTCTCCGCGTCCTCGCGGTTGCCGTACGCTTTCTTGTTGAACGGATCGGCCAGCGTAGTCAGCACTCAGCCTGGCAAACTCAGCAGCCGCTTGACTTATGATCCTCTTCATGTTGGAGGCGCGCATCGTCACGCTGTTCTAGAACTGGCCGTGGAAGCCGGCAGTTGGGTGCTCGCGTGCCGCGCGCCTCATCCTTTGAGCGCGTATCCTGAGGGTCCACCAGCGCAGTATCGCGCATAAAGATTGCGTCGATGTAGAGGCTTTACCATCCGCGCTGTGTAGCTGAGCTCGGAGAGCGGCGTGGCTCTTCATCATGCCACTCACGGTGCTTTCGGCGGTAGACAAACCTCCCTTTAGCAAACCTCCCCTTAGTGAAAACGGCCTGGGACCCAAACCCATGGACCTGGACCCGCAAAAACGACGGACGGCCGCGACGCCCTCTCGCGAATCGAAAACGGCCAATTCCTCAATCGACGTGTCAGGGTAGGAGGTCTAGCCACCTCCGATGCTTGCGATTTCTGCGATTTGACCTCTGACTTTTGCCGAGCCGTCGTGCTCTCAGGGCTCCAACGGTCGTCTGGAGACGTTGCGGCAGGTCGTCGCGCGGCTGGGCGCATTCCGCTCCTGTGTGGTTAAAACGAACACGACTTGTTGGCCCATTGCCCTGAGCTGCTTGCGAAGGCTGGTGTCGCTACCCTGTATTCGCTGCTGTTCCTGTTCGCGGTCTCCGGCGCTTTGCGCCACCCGGGCTTCCACGACAGCAAGAGTCGGCGCCGATGACAGGGCGGACTGTCTGCTGTCGGTTAGTTGGCCAAGTTTGGGAGAGCAGCAACACCGAGACCAGTGCCCCACAAATGTCTGCTCCATTGAATTTAAAATTGCGTCTTGGACCAGCTCGAACCCGTCCTGGTTTGCCGAATCGCACTGAATCGCACGGGGGAGAGAACTGGGGGTGAGAATAGGCAAACGTCGCTTGAGAGGCCCGCCACCAAGACCCACCCGCGCGAGCCCAGCAGCCGGCAACCCGCGCCGGCATCGGGGGCCCCCGCGAAAAACCAAATGGACGTGAGCCGCGGCAGGCCTGGGGCGGCACGAGCTGAGTGCTCTGGACTCCTAGCCCTCCGGTCTGCCTCCCTGCCGCTGTCTTGTCCCGCCGCTGGGCAAGCATCCCCGCCGTTGTCCTCAGGAGGTCTCACCACACCCGAAGCTGGCCCGTGGATGTTCCAACAAGATCCTCCTACTCCCCCTCCTCCCCCTCCTCCTCCTCCTCCTTCTCCTCCTCCTCCTCCTCCTCCTCCTCCTCCTCCTCCTCCTCCCCCTCCCTCCTCCCCTGCTCTCCTCCTCCCCCTCTCTCCTCCCCTCCTCCTCCTCCTCCTCCTCCTCTCCTCCTCCTCATCATCATCATCCTCCTCCTCATCTTCGGCCTCCTACTGCATGTCCTCCCCCGCCTCCTCTTCCTCCTCCTCCTCCTCCTCCTCCTCCTTGTCCTTCCCTCTCCTCATCACTCCCCATCCTCCTTCTCCCCTCCTCCTCCTCGTCGCTCCTCCTCCTCGTCGCTCCTCCTCCTCGTCGCTCCTCCTCCTCGTCGCTCCTCCGCCTCGTCGCTCCTCCTCCTCCTCCTCCTCCTCCTCCTCCTCCTCCTCCTCCTCCTCCTCCTCCTCGTCGCTCCCTCTCCTCATCACTCCTCACCGCCGAATCGCAGTGGTCGCGGCAGGACCCCGTTGTTGCCCCGCGGCCCCCGCCCCGCGCGGCGCGGCGCGGTGTGACGCGCCGGCGGGCCCGACGGCGCCCGCCCAGGCCAGCCAGCTGCCCCAGACCTCGGCGCAGGCCACGGGATCGCTCCTCC